GCAATGGTTTTATTTTACAGAGGTTCAGGAGGAGGTCAGAATCTAGTGTTGTGCCTTGTCCCCCGTGTATAAACACTCCCTGGCTGCACACAACGTTTTGAGCTGATTTTGCTCCTCGCCAGTTTGCTGGTCCTTAGAGAAATGTTCCTTTCATGTTTAGAAATGATTTGAATGTTAAAAAGTTCATAACAAACTCTGGTTGCATAAAACACGTATTGAATATACCATGTGATGAATAGAGATTTATTGTTCCTTATTAACTTGGCTGCGGATGTCAGTGTATTGAACAGTCGCTAATGTTAGCCAGAATATCTCAAGTTTCTTGTAGCATTGTGTCCTTGTGGCTCTGGGTCCTGGGTGCATTTCTGGACCTGGGCTGCTGTCTTTGTGCAGTTTGTATGTATGTACTGTGTGTTTGTATGTTCTCATGGGTTTCCTCCAGGTGCTCCGGTTTCCTCCCACAGTCCAAAGACATACCGGCAGGTTTATTGGCTTCTGGAAAAATTGGTCCTGGTGTGAGTCTGTGCGTGTCTGTTTGACCCGTGGCGGACTGGAGGCCTGTCCAGGATGTACCCTGCCTTGCTCCCATTGCTTTCCAGGCGTCTCTGTGACCCTGAATGGGAAGAAGCAGTTATCAAATGGATGGATGTAAGATTGTACATAAAATCTTTAATCCCCCTAGTGCTTTGGAACTACAGTCTTAACTGTGGATGTGGGTGTTTTCTGAAACCGGTGATGACCTGACCATCATCCACCAGTAGGAACTGCTCTGCACCAACAGGGAATTGGGGTAGACAGTGCTCGTTCTGCAGAATCCCCAAGTGAGCTAGCCAGTATAAATTATCCATGACAGTCAGCTGGAATGTAATGATTCATGTTCCCAGGTGCGGGGTTAATGGATGCTTCGCTTGAAAACAAAGGGAAACAGGGAACACCTAGGGAAGCACAGCAGCAGAAAACAGTACCGTTACCTGACATCGCATGCCACAGACAGGCCTACTGAATCAGCCGAAGAACAAGCTGAGTGGAGTACTGTATGTTTCAGCATTTTTCCTCATCTGTCTCTCTCACTAAGTGCCACATTGCAGCTCCTAACAGTAGATTGCCTTCATAACTTAAATTGGAGAAGATTTAATTACACGGCAGAGCTCAGTTAAGAAAACAAGCAGGAGCACATTGTGCTGAGATGAGGCTGGGAAACGCTGACTCCTTTATCACACCTTTATGTCTTGCTTGGTTTTCTTTTATACACCAGTCTGCAGCTTCCTCCTTTCAGCTGGAGTTAATGAGTGTATTTTTCTTTTTGGTGTCTGGTTTTTAAAGACTGACTCCCGTCAGCTGAAAGCTAGCACTTTCTGCAGCTAAATTCATCACACTTTCTAGATCATAAAGCACCGTTAAATAGCTAAAGACAGGTCTGTTGCTGGTAAAGATGTGTTTTTTGGAATGTCTGGGTTCCTGATGTATTTTATTTTGGTTTTCTTAGTATTTGTGAGGCTCCGTGTACTTTCATCCTTCTGTTTTTGGGGTGTGTGTGTGTGTGGGGGGAGGTTACAGTAAATTGCCATAAAATTATCCAGGAGTAACTACTCCGGGAATTTCAAGGCCATTCTTCCTATGACAGAACAGGAAGTGGCTTTTTTCAGGAGGCCTCCAGTGTGCTTGCCGCATTTACAGGTTCATGTTCTAGCTGAGCCGGTGCCTGAAGTATGATTTTAATCAAAGAAATAAAAGTTTATTGCTTCTGTGAAAAAACTCTTTGTTAATCTGTACGTGACTATAACGGCGAATGCTGTCTTACCTCCTTTTTGTCTGGAGAGATGTTTTGTGTCCTGGGATCGAAATTATATTTTTCAATCTAGTAGCTGCTGTGTCTGCTGCTGTATTGCTGGAGAATAAAAATAAAAAATTCAGAAAACCATCAGTTCCTTCAGTTTGTCTTCATCACTCAAACCATAATACCTCAATACCTGTGTATGGAAGACCTAATATAAGTTTAATAAGGGAGGGCATTGCAGTGGCACAGTGGTTAGCACTTCTGCCTCACAGCTCTGGGACCCGGGTCCATTCTTGGGGAGTTACCTGCATCGAGTTTGTATGTTCTCCCCATGTTCATGTGGCTTTCCTCTGGGTGCTCCAGTTTCCTCCATGCTGGTGGGTTAACTGGCTTCTGGGAAAGTTAGCCCTGGAGAGAATGTGTGCGTGTTTATCTCTGGGTGTGCCCTGCGATGGAGTGGCGTCAGGACAGATGCACAGGTCGCTTGCTGGGATAGGCACCGGCTCCCCTGCAGCTCCTGCGTTTTCACAGGGCGATTAGCTCTCTTGCGAAAGCTGCAGGCAGAGACGGGGCTTCTCTTGGGGGCAACGGGAGAGGCCTGGGTCGCAGCGCTGCTGTCTGTTGCCCCCTGAGCTCCGGGGGCTCGCCCAGCGCCGCGCACGATCGCACGTTCCTGCCAGGAGCCGCTCGGGCTCACTGCTCCCACGCGAAGGCAGGGTCCGCGGCTGAGGCCGATGCAATTAGCTCCCCCGCGCACTTCTGACCACTGCAGCCTGGCGAGCAGCGCCTGGGGAAGCCTGCTCTAACTACCCCGGCGTGAACCTGCAGAGCTCTGTCCTGTTTTGGGGGTTCGGCACTGTGTGGGGATCAGGGATGTAGTAAAAACCGTAGAGCAGGGAAGGCCTCAGCCCAACGGGAACAAAGACGCCCATTCGGAGCCTCGGTGTGTCATGAGAATGAGAATAAAAGTAAGCTGAGCGCCACAGTGGCACATCTTGGGCCCTGGGTTCAATTCCAGGGAAGCCATCTCCCTGTGTTTCCAGGAAAATGAGTAATTGGGTTTCCTCTGGTTTCATCCCACAGCCCCAGAACGTACTGGTTAATGGATTGGCTCCTGGAAGAATTAGCCCTGGTGTGAGTGTGTGCCTGTCAATGTCTGTGTGTCTGCCCCGCGATGGACTGGCATCCCACTGCCTCCAGCTCCCCACAATGCCCTGTATCAGATCGAGCAGTCTCGAAAATGGATGGCTGCATATAGGCCAGTTAAAATAAAATAACCAAAAAAGAGGGGTTCCAGAAAAGCACTTGGAATGGTGCTGCAGATAGAGTTGAGGCTGGGGCCTGTGATCTGGAGCTGGGTCTTGAGCACTGGAGCGTGGCTGAATGACACAAGGCCTGAGCCAGCTAACTGGCTGCTTCAGTAAAACTTTTATAATGCGTAGTAACAAAGTCTCGAAATAGATTTGCAAAGAAACCCCTTTAATGCTCCTGAACAGGCTGTTCGCTTGTTCAGTTCCTTGGGTAACATATGTCTGCACCTGTCCAGTTAATTTGCCAGAGCTTGTACACTGCAGGGTACTTTACCTGCAAAGCACTTCAGAAGCTGCAGGGTCTCTTTAAATATATCTGTGCTGGAACATATGGTCATTCCTGGAAAAAAAGAGAACAGCTGTCATTTGGATGCTGACTTCAAGCCAATATACTTTATACTGCAGCACAGATTTTACTACCAGTTTACTGATGATTTGTAGTCTAGAACAGAGGTTTTCAAATTTTATGGCTACTGTTTGTGGGTGCGGGGGGCTCCTGCGGACCTTTGTGAGCTGCATGCCCTTTTCTGAAAAACAGTGATCAAGAATGTTCGTTGGGTTAATCGTCTTTATTTAAAAGCTGGATAGTTTTTAGTCTTGCTCAGATTGCTTCAAGTTGTTGTGGAAATATGTTCTGCTCTGCAGAGTTTCACTCTCCTACAGTATAGGACATAATACTAGCACAATAACTGTTAGAAAAAGGTCTCCTATATTTCATGTATTTGATCTTGTACACTTTATGCCTTGTGTATGTGTTTAGATTATTTTGAAGCTGGATTCATTCTCTCTGGATCAGTAATCCATGCCATCACTCTCTGAAGGTGGTGGGGAAAATACAATATTCACGATGATCAATGTATAACCCCCTGGAGAGGTTGAATTCCAATTGGAATTTTTAAAGCATTTTCAGACTACTGTTTCTCTAGCCCTTTTTTTAGTGATTGATTATTTATGTCATTATAGATATGTTCGTCGCTACTGGGACATGACCATTATATCCTATCCTTCCATGCATTTTTACCCTCTTCACCCAATTGAGGGTCATGGGGGCGCAGGAGCCTATCTGGAAAAGCAGCTGATGTAAGGCGGGGTACCCCTGGGAGGGACCCTTGCCCGTCACAGGGCAGAGACACACACACTCACACCAGGGTCAGTTTTCCCGTAAGCCAGTTACCCTCCCAGTACAGTAAGTCTTCGGAATGTGGGAGACAACTGGAGCAGCTGGGGGAAACACACATGAACCCCAGGACTGGAATTGAACCCAGAACTCCAGCACTGCAAAACTGCACTGACAACCACTGCACCACCATGCTGCCCTCCTGCCCCACTGCCTGAAACATGTAGATTGCTTGTTCTGTACAACTGACCTCTCTTTGCCACTCGTCAATACACATAGAAGGTTTGCCACCGCCTCTGTACTACATTGCTGCAGTATTGGTGATGCAGACTTACAGTGATAAAGAGGCCCGAGGGTTGTAGCAGCAGGAAGAGCTGGTTAAGCAAAAGTTCGAGATTGCAGTTGTGCATTTTTGCAGAAGAAAAGCGAACATTGCTAGAAAGTTAAGTCTCAAGCAGAATGATGGAATCAATTGATGACATTTCTTTCTGTGGTGTTTTTTTTTTTTGGGGGGGGGGCATTTCTGACTCTCGCTTACTGCCCTGCTGGCTCTCAGTCACGCAGTGCCAAGCGTGTGACATGCACTGCAGACGGAGCTTCCGGACGGCCGCAGGACCCCTGGCTGGGTCCAAGGGGGGGCTGGAGTCACCACAGGCTGGACCGGCACATATGGGGATTTTTGTGGGTTTTGAAGCCAGGAGTCGTCTACTTTTAAAAGAGTAAAAAAAACTCTCGATAACCAGTATGCCTCGACGTTAACCTTTCCCGATGCAATTCTGTTGTCACACGTCTTCAGGAGTGGATGGACCTGCGGTGCAGAGGGGTGCGGAACGCCAATGCCTACATCCTGGTCTACGACATCTGCTGCGTGGAGAGCTTCGAGTACGTGAAAATGATCCGGCAGCAGATTGTGGAGCACAGGTACCCCGGCACACCTGTCCCCTGCCTTCTTCCCATCCGCAGCTCGGCCACTGTTGGCTCGAAATGCCCACCACAGCCCCTCATCGTAGTGGGGTGGGATGTGCAGCCTTATACATGTTCATCACACTAAGCTAGGAAAAAAAATCACAAATAATATCACATTTTATATATGTATTTTTATGATAAAAAGGGAAAGGAACACTTTTCTTTGACTGTGCTGATTGTGATTGTTAAAAAATAAATTTAAAAAATCCCAAAGGCATATATACATAATACATATAATGCATTATGTATTTATGTATGCCCCTCCGTAATTATATGGGAGAAATACAGTTCGTTACTTCGAGTTGTTGTATACAGTAGTCCTCAGAGCCAGAATCTTTCTAGGCTTCTTTAAAAGATCATCAGCTGAAGACCTCTGCCAAGTGTCACATGTATTGGAAGAGACATCCTATGCCATGGCTTATATTCCTGTACCGCTCTTGATGTGGATCAGTAATAAATCCTGATTGCCCAGAGTCCTCTTTCCATCCCAAGTCAGCTCTCTGAGAGCCTGGACATTCCACATTCGTCAGTGTGGAGCTGATGTGTGCCTGGCAACTGAAGATCTAGCAGCTCAGAACAGTGCCTTCAATTTAGGATCCTGCCATTTTGACTACAGACGTCTTTGTATGTCTGAGGAGATTCTGAAAGGATTCTGACTGGATGTGCACCGTGCAGAGGACAGACATATTCAAGTGGCCTTAGAGGTGCTTTCTCGGAAGATCTGAATGTCATTCCGACCTTATCAGCTTCAGGGTTCAATGTTCGGGTGTGGTTTTTGCACAGCGTGAAGCTCTGTTCCAGAGGATGAAAGTATCTTTCCAGGATCAGTGCAAAATGGCTGGCAGCTGTCTGGCTCCTGCCATTGACTGGCATTCCTGAGACGAAGTCCCTCCCCCTCTTCAGGCGCTTGCTGCAACCAGAGTGCCTGGATAGGCGTCACTAGTATAATATAGCTTATACTGTGTTGCAGTACCCCATGCAAGGACTTGTATCGTTTCCTGGATGCTGGTGGAAAGCATCTTTACTTCTCCTATCTCAGTGTGGTGTGGTAGCCTGAGTGTTGAGAGTCAGGGGAAGTTGGGTGGGAACTCTTAATACTGCTAGTAAAATAATTGGCCAACCACAGACACAGCTTAAAGTGCCAAATCATACTGCAGTTCAAAGGACAGCTCAGCTTATCATTGATAATCCCCTTCACCCTCTTCATTCCCATTTGAAACTGCTGCTTTCAGGGAGGTGGTTTAGAATGGGTTTAGAATGCCTATGGCCAAGAAAAATGTCTGCAGTACAATAAATCTTTTGTTCCCTGTGCAATTGGTATAATAAATGCAGCTAACTGACGGTTTCCTATATGAAGCTGTGGGATTAGTGTAATATGGGCAGAGCATGACTGTATACTATATGTATTAAATATAGTATATTATATACTAGTATATACAGCATATGTGTACTGTTATATGGCTAGGACTATTGTTTGTTTTTAACGTGTATGTACACTATTTTATGTTGAGTGTTTTTTGTTGTGGTTTTGTACAGTGGTGCCAATGACACGTGTCCACCCATTTACCCATTATAAAGTTATATACAGTACAAGTGTGTTTTCGGTTCGATTCCTTATCTGCTGGGGGAGGAGATGTTGCCATTCCAAGCACTACTGGCTATGAGATTCTACAGAAACAGAATCAAGCTAGCCACTTAATTAACCCCTTCTCGTCTGTGGCCATTCTGATGGACACAGGATTGGATCTAATATTACAGCTATGTAAACCTAGACAATGCATGGGTGGTGACAAAATCTTGTGCTTTTCAAACGGAGAAAATGGTTATTGTTGGCACAACATTGGTGCTCCACTGTTTGAGAGGTGTACAGTACAGCATGATGATGAATGGTGTTCTGAAATCTGCTCTCCTATCAGCAATCGGTATACCTGCTTCCAGTAGATATTAAGATGGGATACCTGCCCTTTTTTTGATCTGGTCTCCATCTGCTCACCTGCTCGCTGACTCTTACACAGTACCTGTCGGCCATATGCGTTACACTCTCCGTCCCCAGCGAAGGGCTATCCCACCCCGCTGCTGACACCAATGTAACACATCGGGGGCTCTGGCGGGTGCCCTTGCCGCATTAGGTCGGCCCCCCCACCGTCGGGGGCTCGAACCCGGGACTCCCGCATCACTCAGCAGGGACCCAGCCCGGTGAGCCAAAGAGAGATCTCTCTACAGCCCAGGGGCTGTGGTCCTGCTACCACAGGGAAGGGCGGTGACGTCACCTGCTCTGGTAAGCCGGCTCTTACACAGTACCTGTCGGCCGTAAGCGTTACAATATAGATAGTTGGATGGAGTTTTTAGAGGCTGATAATTAAAAATTATATGGCTATTGAGACTATAAAAGATGGCATTTAGTGGCACAACAACACAGCATTGCTTAGCAGATTAAAAGTTCTAGTCACGTTGCTGTGTACAGTAGTACAAGTGTGCAGAAGATATTATTGGTTTGGAGTTTCTTCTCCTTGGCTCTCCTTTTCATGACCAGTAATTGTGTAAAATTAAATATATCCCTTTAGTGGGTTTGGTAAAAAGAGAAAAGAAACATCTGTTTTGGCGGTGCTGTGGTTTTATTTTTTTGGTGGGGAATATGCTTAGAATAATTGTTTAGCCTTCTGAGGTCCTGTGGTAGAATCAGTATGAATTTTCTCAATTACAGGCAGATGATGTTTTATGAAAGAATGATCATTTCTTGATGTACAACATTTGTACCTCCGGTATTTAGGAAATGCTATTTTTCAATTTAAATCAATAAAACGAAAAAGGTACGCAATGCGAACAATGTAAGGCAAGAGACAGCTATTTCTTATTTCAATTTATGTAGCTACAGAAGCTGAATGGCTGTCTGAATGATGCAAATAGCTTGTCTTTGCTCTTCGGGACTGCTGTGTTTTTTCTCTGAGATCAGGGGAAGAGCGCCGTTCCCTGTGCTGTGAACAGCTGTGTCTCTGGTGAAATTACACGTCACTCAGTGTACTCAGTTTTATTGTTGGCACAGCCCCCACCGCAGCCCTGCAACACAGGAAGCCTTTTATTTATTCAGACGAATGCCTGCCATCCCGATGCTCGTTCTGGCAGGACTTCGCTCCCATGCAGGTAAATTATTAGGTGTGGATTTCAGTAAAAAAAACAATGGGGTTGTAGTCCGTTACATGCTTTATAAAGAATAGCTAAAAACTGTCATGATCACTGTTGGCATCAGCTGATGCCTTTACCCAGTTCACACAGAGCGATCAATAAACCGTCAAAATGCTTACAGTGCTGTAATATTAAACATTGATTGGAGCATGCAAAGGAAATAAGTTATTGCAATTGTGACGTAAAGCACAATGACCAAAACAGAGCGTGAAACACAAACTAATACAATCCCTGCATGCACTGCAGGTTCTACAAGTACACACCTGTAAGTGGAAATATACTGTAGCAGTACAGCGCACAGAAATTAAAGTGACAAGCAACATGATAAGACGTGCTAACACTTAAAGCACTAGCTCATGCTGTTAAGCTTAACATCCTGTTCGATATATTCATGTTAGCCTGAAACCCACTGCTGATGCACGAGAATTTGCACTCGAAGGCTCTTGAACTTCACTCCTAAGGTTTTCTTTTTTTTTCACTTCACTAAATGGAACACAGTATTGGAACAGTGTACATGGTCACCCTTACACTGCTCTGCATGTAGTAGTCTGTCATTAAAGCTGCTTTAGTTTCTGTTTTTTTTCCCGATTTCTTAAATTAACTTCTTTCACCCTTTTGATATATTCCATTTGAGCTTTCGTTTTCCTTAATAATGTTCACAGAATGTTTATATATCCTTTTCAATGGGCAGCCAGTGGGTGGTTGGCATTGCTACCTTGCAACGCTGGGGCCTGGGTTCAATTCAGGACCTGGGGAGCTATCTGTGTGGAGTTTGCATGTTCCCTCTGTGTTCATGTGGGTTTCCTCTGACTGCTCTGGTTTCTTCCCACAGGCCAAAGACATGCTGGTAGGTTAATGGGCTTCTGGGAAAATTAGCCCTGGTGTGAGTGTGCGTGTGTCTGTATGCCCTGTGTTGGACTGGCGACCCATCCAGGGTGTGTCACACCTCGCACCCGGTTCTTCCTGGGCTAGGCTCCGGGCCACCATGACCCTGAATTGGATAAGTGGCTATTGATGCTATGATGTTTTTTGATTCAACAAAATGGAACATCACTGGAAGGAGGCGAATGCTTCTGCCAGGCACTG